ATATAGGATATGATAAAGGAGCTCTGGTCTCTGTAATGGATGTATAGTTTAGGCAACACAGTAAGGGTAATTTCAAGATAACTTACACTTTACTCCAAATAGATTTTCGATGACATCAGACTATGAGCACTTGATTCGGAAAGGGCTGAAGGATGGTCTGGCTTACTTCTCCCCCCACTGCTCCTTGAAGACAGGCTCTTCTCCATTTTGGGTGGAAGAGAATGAGGACAGATCCCTCCAAGGAAGCCACCCACTGGGCATATAAAAAGGACAGGGGAGCTGTTTTTTCCAGCTCCCTGTAGGGATATTTTGAAATTCTGTTATTTGGTCTCTTTGCTTGCATCCGGGCAATAAGTTGTGACCAAAGACTTCAGCCGACCCACAGTTCTGACCGGACTTCCTGGTCCGCTCTCCCACTGTCCTCAGGGATATTTCCAACACCCCTTCCCCTCTTCCCCATCTCAGGCCTTCATGGGGAAAGTGGCAGCTGTTAAAAGAAAATCTCATTTTGCCCAATACCAGATCTAGGGAGCTACCTGCATTCACACATGTTCACTTCCAGAACCCAAGCTCCCAGGTTACAAAGATTCGGGTCTTGTCTTGATCCCTGTTTTATTCCCGAGGACCTAAAACAGTGCCTTCTAAGTAATCGGTGTACAATAAATATTTCCATAAATGAGTTAAAACAGCATCTTCCTTCTTGACACAGGAACCGGGACTGTCCCTGTGCCTATCTGAGATGAAGCCTTCACGAGTCCAAGTTCTCACTCCTTCCCACCTGCCCAGTCAGGTTTCACGTGTGCAGTAAGCCACTTCTCTTGACAGCATGTATCTGTCCCCCTCTAATGGAATATTCCAATCTGTGTATGACCATGCTGCATGGTCTCCTTGAGTTAAAATCCTCCCTTAGCTCACCCACACTCAGCTCTGTCCACACTCCACTTTACATCAAAACCTGAGTTGTCTGCAACTGCTGATTCTGCTTCACAGCCCACTCCAACAAGCCGTTCTTCATCCCCAAACTCTGAGCCTGTTAACTCCAAAAACCCCCCAACCTAGTGGCTAACTCAGCCCTCATCTTATTTGATCAGCACTTGAATGGCCATTCCCCTCTTGAAAAGCGTCACTTCTGTTGTGGTGTGCCACGTTATTCTGCTTTATCTGAGAGATCTGGAAGTTTCCTTTGCTGGCTCCCCCTTCCAAATGCTGGAGGGTCCCAGGGGCCACCCCACCCTCTTCTGGAACGACAGGGTTGCGATTGAGACTATGGGTCCCTGAGCCAGCAGCATCAGCCTGGCTGAAGAGCTTGTTAGGAATGTAGCATCTCGGGTCCCATACCAGACCTACCGAATCTGAATCTGCATCTTAGCAAAAACAGGTGACTCTTAGGCACATTAAAATTTGAGAGGCACTTATCTGTTTACAAGTGATTTCAGTCACGTGGCTTTAAACTCTTATTCATTGGCTAATTCCCAAATGTTTGGCTTCTGGCCCCTTCCTCAATTCCATGCTGCATCCCATGAGAAATCAGGTATCTCAAACCCAAAGGCAATCAGAAATCTTGAATTGTTCCCTCCAGCCTAAAAACCTAAGGTCACCCTTATCATCTCTTTGCTTTCGAATCGCTGGGCCAAAATCCTCCCGCTGGCAAGATATTGAAGACATTAGCAGAGTCCTACCACTGGCCACCATTTCTGCTGCTTCTGCCCTGGTCTAAGCTACCAATATCTCTGGGGCAAAGACTTCTAAGAGAGTCTCCTGATACTCCTTATTTTCACCAAGACGCTCTATGACACATTTTGCATGAAGCATGATATTGTGATCTTCAAAGAAGTCTTCAATATAAACTCAAATATAAACTCTTCAATATAAACCCTTCCCAAATTTACTACCATGGATTTCAAGAGTCATTATTTTCTAGTGCCTTCCACAGCGTCAAGTTCTCTCGTCAAACCGACAAGCTTGTTTTACTCCTCCTTTCCCTTAAATCTTTGCTTTCCTCACTTCCTTATTTCCCTCTGGTACAGCTCAAAGATCACCTCCTTCAAGACTTTCTTTAATCACCATAATTAAGACTCACCTACCTTCCCATCCATTTTGTTACTCTGCTTTACTCCCCTCTAATAGTTACCTAATGTTACCTACTCTGACTCCCCATAAAGTGTCTGGTGCGTGAGCAAGGACTTTTTCTTTTGAAACCACCACTGGTTAGAATGGTGCCCAGCACACAAGGAGCACTCAAGTGTTGAGTCTTCAAGTGTTGGCAGACCACTGGGGACAAGGGACAACTTCTTGTGCATGTTGTTCTAGGGCTAGAGAGTCGTATAAATCTGGATGTAGAGGGGCACCTGGGTGGCTCAGTGGGTTAAAGCCTCTGCCTTCGGCTCAGGTCATGATCTCAGGGTCCTGGGATCGAGCCCCGCGTCGGGCTCTCTGCTCAGCGGGGAGCCTGCTTCCCTCTCTCTCTCCGCCTGCCTCTCTGCCTGCTTGTGATCTCTGTCTGTCAAATGAATTAAAAAAAAAAAAAAATCTTAAAAAAAAAATCTGGATGTAGAGAAACCACCTACAGTTTTCAAGAGGCTCCAATTTTCCTAATATGGCAGTTCTAAAAAACGTTTCTGTAGATCAGAATCACCTGGGGATTTAAAAAAAAATTCTAATGTTTCAGCCACATTCCAAATGAATTAGATCACAATTGCTGGGTGTGGGACATAAGTATCTGCATTTCTTGAAGCTTTTGAGGTAATTCTAATAGGAGACAAGTTTAGGAGCCACTGGTTTATAGCATGAGTTGGTAATCACGGTATGAGACGGTATATGAAATCCAGAACACTTAACAAAGAAATCCTAGGGGCGCCTGGGTGGCTCAGTGGGTTAAGCCTCTGCCTTCAGCTCAGGTCATGATCTCGGGGTCCTGGGATCGAGCCCCGAATCGGGCTCTCTGCTCAGCAGGTAGCCTGCTTCCTCCTCTCTCTCTGTCTGCCTCTCTACTCCTTGTGATCTCTTTCTCTCTGTCAAATAAGTAAATAAAATCTTAAAAAAAAGAAAGAAATCCTAGTCAAAATCTTATGCAAATTTAAGACTTCTATTTCCCATGTGGTATAGAAAACAAACAAAAAAATTCATAAAAATAAAACTGTCTCAAACATTAGGTCTTAAAGAGAGCACATTTTCCAAGTTTTTCTGTATCTGTTTTCCTATCAAGCCTAATCCAAATTTGGGTACTTCTTTTACGAAGTTTTTTGTTTGTTTTGTTTTTTTCCTCACATGCTGAGAGAAATTTAATGTATGAAAAAGTGTTGACTTCTACATAGTCACATGTGAAAGCTTTCGGAGACTGTGAACATACAAATATTTTTAATGGTGTCAGGTAAATAGCTCTATCCTGGTAACGAGGATGTAATCACTAAGACAAAAAGATGTATTCTCAAGAGAGAAAACAATTTTTTTCACAACTCAACTATGTTACAATAAAATAAATTCTTCATCATGCTGTCTGATATTTCTCGCTCAAGAAGCAACATAACCAACGACGGGTTCCAGTCATCAAGCAAAACATCCTTAGGACAGAATTAATCAAATATTGTATGTGTGCCTGTCTCAAAGGTCACCTTTAAACTGTCTTCCTCCCTCAGAATGAAGAACAAAATTAACAAGAGAGAAAAACAAGTCATTTGATTATTAAAATCCCACTGTAGTGCAAATACTATAGATCTCGAAGGAACCTTGGAGATACTTAGGCCAACCTCATGTTACAGATGAATAATCTGAACCCCAGAGGTGAAATAACGTGCCTAAAAGTCACACAGAGAGCTAGAAGAGAAAAAAAAAAAAAAATTTTTTTTTCCAAACAAGCAGACAGAATTTTTCACATGTTAATCAAAAGGAATCAAGATCATCAGATTAGGGAGAAATGAGGAATAAAAAGTATGTTACACATGGATTTAAAGGACTAGTTAATCTGATGCCCCCTCCCCAAACCAAAAAAATTCTCCGAATAGATGTTCATATATCCATCAATATGCTTATCCTTAAAATAGCAGAATCTTGGAAAATTCAATTTACAAATACATTATTCATTGCATTGTTATCATGAAATTAGTTCATTAAACATGAAAACATCAAACAGCACCAATACCAGAAAGTTAAAGTGAATACACTATTACTTAAAATAATATATAATCACTGATTGGGACAGAAATCAACTATAGCCACTAGAAAACCATCTGAACTCGTTTGACATAAAGGCAGTATTTAAAGACTCGTGTATGCCCTTTTGCCCACTGATAGGCCTGTGGCCGGGCATCACAGCAGCGGGTCATTGGAAAATGTTGTTAAATAAGATGCCTTTTTTTAATTGCTCAGCCTTGAACCATGATACTACATAACCCCGAATTTTCCACTAGAAGCCAATGGCACCATTCTTGAGATCCTAACTATGCTTACCTGTCCCAATGAGAACAAAACAAAACTCCCTTATTAAGCACTAAATGAAATGTCCCTAGGAGGCAGCAGCAAGGCATTTACAAATGGGCTACTGACAGTGTATCAAAATGCTACTAAGGAAAATACAGCAGCAAATACTCTAGTAAGAGCACAGTATTCCACATGGAATCCCAAATTACTCTTATCTCTAGCTCCTTGGACTCCTGGAAGACTAGAGATGAACATGTGTGTGTATAAATGGGGCTAGGGAGAACGAAGCTCTACATGTAGTGTTCGTATTTTAAATTACCCAAGATAATCTGAAGGCTTCCAGAGAACTCCAACTGTACCTACATTGTTTAAAGCCTGGAGAACTAAAATGCTCGCAAAACTTTGGTGTTTACCCAAAAAACAGCACTGTAGTTTTAAACGAAAGTGAAAACAGGCCTGGTTTGTGAAGCTTTTATAATGTCCACACCACGCTCTCCCTACTCCCTGCTCCTTCCATCAGGTGATCTAAAGCCTACCTGGTTTAAAATATTTGGTAATTCAGTGCAGAAAATTAAGGTCACAGACAAAGTACAACAACTTTTAATACACCATTAATACTAATGATTAAAAATTATTGCATAGTCTTATGCATTTACCCTAAAACATTTTCCGAAAGTAAATTCTGAAAGAATTATATAAAAGACAAATAACCTTTTAAAACGTGGATGGCATTTACTACCTCGATCGTCTATCCTTTTTTGCCTTGTCAGTACTTCTGTCCATTGTTTTCTCATTATCTCCCCTGCACTTTGGGCAATACCACTTCCCCTTTGGTTTATAGGTAAGCGAAACACACGAAAAGTGAAACCATTCAATTGGACACTGTTCATTGTCACATCCGATCATTTCCCCGTAAGACACTTGGTTACATAAACAGTATGTAGGTTCATTGGGATCTATTGCAAACTCAACAGGCGATGCTTCCCTTTCCTGCTTGGCCTTGGAGCGTTTCTTTTTCTTGGCTGACTTGGATTTCTTTTCTTTAGGTGGCTGATCGTCACAGTCTTCAATCCCATTCGTCATGTGACATAAATCACGGCTTTCACTGGTTCGCTGTCTGCGGGGTCTTCTTGAAGATCTTTCCGGTTGGCTGGAATCCATCTTCGCCTTATCCGAGGCCCGTTCACCTTCAGCAGGATCTTGAAAACACTGTGAATGCAACTCCATTTGCCTGGCCCGATTTTCCACCAGTTCGAGCATCTGTGTGACAATCTGAATTTTCTCATCTCCCAATTCTTGACTATTGATTAATGCTCTCTGCAGATGCTGCTGTAGGCGTTTCTTCTGGTTTGAATCCTCTTCTTTCTTATATTTTTCATAGACATCATCAATTTCCTTTAATGTTTCTAAAAACGTAAGAGAAAAATCAGAACATTTGTGCATTAGCACATATAATATTTTTTAAGCTAGCTATCTTTCACAGAACTGGTAAAGTTGAATGAACTCAAATCATGAAATCACACTCCTCTTGGTATATATACATTGAAAAACATTATTTCCCATAGAAAGATCATATGGCATCCAATATGAAAGTATATTTAGAAATAAACTACTAAGAATACAAAGCTTTCTTTTTTTAAATTTTTTATTTTTTTACAAAGCTTTCTAATACTCATGAGTCTGTATTAAAAAGGGTAAGAGGTGTGGCTGGCTCAGGTGGTAGAACATATGACTCTTGATCACAGGATCATGAATTCAAGCCCACACTGGGCACTGAGCTTACTTAAAAAAAAAAAAAAAAAAAAAATTGCGGGGGGGTGGTGTCTGCGTGGCTTAGTTGGTGGAGCATCTGCCTTGGGCTCTGGTCATGATCCCAGGGTCCTGGGATTGAGCCCCACACATTGGGATCCTTGCTGGGATGGGTGGGGGAGGAGCCTACTTCTCCATTTCTCTCTGCCTGCAGCTCCCCCTGCTTGTGCTCTCTCTCTCTGTCAAGTACACAGACAAAATGTTTAAAAATTTTTTTTTAAAAAGGATAAGAAGAGATGTGTGTACTAATTAGTACTCAAAATATTTTACATGGGCAAGAACACTGCACTTTATAGTCTACCTCGCAAAGTCACTTATACTCATTTGAACTTCAAAACAGCACTGTGATAAAACTGACATGCCAGACTTCAACTGTAAAACTTCGAGAGGTTCTAAAAGCAGGCTACAGATGCCTATCCAACTGTGTTTACAGGACTTAGAGTTCAATCGATGACTTGCTACATGACTCCAGAGAGACATTGCAAGTTGACTTTCATATCATACCCCTGGACTCTTGAACAAAGCAGACACAAGTAACTCTTCCCACCATATTAGTCTTACTAGCTCGTTTATTTTATCATATGGGAGATTCTGAAAACCAAACTATTTCCAGGGTAGGTTTAGGTTCAGATTCTGGCATCAACTGACGAAGCTACTAACAAAATTACGGTAAGGTCAGCATTGGGTCACTCTGCTTTTGCAGAGAACTCAGCAGTTGGTTTTAAGCTTTCTGAACTGCTGATTTGGGTATTGTATAGCATGTGGGACCCATTTAAATCAATTAAAAATGTCTGAGTCACTAGAGAGTATACAATAATCTGAAAATATAGTTCCAGATGTCACCAAAAATTAATGTAAGATCAGTTTTTTATTCAAGTCTGTTCTATTTCTTGTCATTATGAGATATAAAGCTATCTAACAGAATTGTCTTACTAAAGGTGGAGAGGCAAAAATTAACTCCAATTTATCACACCGCATGGCATATCACTGTTTTATGTTCTAATAGTACTACCAGCACGTGGTACACCATCGTTCTACCTTCCAATATTATTACTCTAACGATAACAGAAGAAATGTTAGACAAGTAAAATGCATACACTAGGGCTGTCTCCAAGAACGGTTAACACAAAGCAGGTCTTCAACACAACTCTTAGGAATTAATTCCTCCCTAGAAGTTATAAGTACTCACGTGTGACGGACAACTGCTTAACCTGGGATACGGGACAAAGTGCCAACACATTTGAGCATACGCATACCTGCACAGCATATTTATTTATTTTTTTTAAAGATTTTATTTATTTATTTATTTATTTGACAGTGATCACAAGCAGGCAGAGAGGCAGGCAGAGAGAGAGGGTTGGGGGAAGCAAGCTCCCTGCTGAGCAGAGAGCCCAATATGGGTTTCGATCCCAGAACCCTAAGATCATGACCTGAGCTGAAGGCAGAGGCTTAACCCACTGAGCCACCCAGGCACCCTGCACAGCATATTTTAAAACAAAGTTCATATCTAGTCCATTGGCCAGCTGGGCATGTAAGTGGTTTTCTTAAGAATATAATTTTTCCCCAGGAAAAATTATTTTGTATTTTCCCCTCAGCCACAAAATTTGAGAATTAAAATATAAAGGTAAACCTCATTTTAAATATTCTGTACCTAACTATCAGGAGTTAGATGCTAGTATATCATATAGGCACACTGATACTATATATGAGAAGAATTCATATTTCTAAGATTCCTTAATTACAAAGTGAAAGAAAAAAGGAAACTAGCACTTACTAAGCACTTTTATTCGATAAAGATTTTCTCATTTAATCCCCAAGCAACCCCACAAGGAAGCTATCACTTCTATACATGAAGATAATGAAGTTCAAGAGGTAACAACCCCAGACTCTGAACTCTGCCAGATAGGTATGTCTGGTTCCGCTGTTGAAGCACTTTCTACTAAGCTACATGGAAGGCACTTGAAAATAAATATTAATTTTTAGTTCAATGGTTATTTACCCAAGAGATTATGAACAAGAACATTAGAACAAAAACTGAGGTTCTCCAGTAACCATATCCCATAGTAAATATTTCTTTCCCTTGTGAAACTACTGTCTTCATTTCTTTAGTTTTAAAAGTTTTTAAGGTTACTTTTAGCAATTCTTCGGTAATTTCTGAAAGTGTCTCAAATAGGCAGGAGAGAAACTGTTTTGATTTCCCGTATAACTTGTATCACTAAATACTGCAGTAAGTATTAAATCCGAAAACAGAAAATACTTAAGAACTAGCAAAGAAATAAAAAACCATATGAAATCTGAACCAAGAACACACGAGTATATAAAGCTAAATTGTCCATGTGGAGCTTAGTGAGTAAGCATGGGCACAGACTGAAAACTAGATCCTTCTTTTATATTAATCTTGAAACTAACCAAGCTTAATGGAGCTGAAATTGTTTATAACCTCTCAATCTTTTAAAGCTTAATATTGTTTCTCCTGTTACTAGAGTTACCTGGGACAATTCTAGATGGTAAAAATGGCAGATTTCCCTGTAACCGATTTTCTCTCCCAAATTCAAATGAAAATAGCTTAACTACTGTAAAGGCAAATACATGTCTTTCACGAAATGTAAAACCATGCAAGCTTTACAAACTTCAGAGCTACTCTCTGGAAAACTAAAAATGTTCAATATACAGCACATATGTATCATTTTTAGGCTACAATTCATGTATGCGTTCCAGGTGTGTAGAAAATACCTTTGGAGAGATTTTACTAAATAAGTTTTTATAAAAAGTTAATAGTTAAAAAAAAAAAAAAAAAAGATGTGCACATGAAGTAGCCAGGCTACTTCCCCACCTCATCAAACAAGTCAGTTAAACTCTTGCAAATTTTAACTTGTCTGTAAAATATGTTTTTACTTCATAGAATTATTGTGAGATAATGTTCTGGACCTGGCACACAGCAATGACACACAGTAAGTAATCACTATTTAATTCTCTTTCCCTCTAACAGAGATCAGTCCTATCAACAACCCTACCATATGGGTTCGGAAGGCAGAAATAAATTACAGATTCGAAAACACAGACACTTAAATACTCTAACATACTACAGGCCAGAAGATACCACCCCAGAAGTGGGTTCCTTTGAAACCAAATCATAAGATGAGTGACGGGTCTAGAAAAACAGAGAATGGGATCCAAAAAGTTATCTTTTTAAAGTCCGTACGGCTGTTTCCACATTCTGTCCAAGGTCTATGCCTAGATCCGGCTTATTAAACGCAAAACCGTTACACTTAAATTTCTCTCCTCCCAGTGGCACCAGAAAGACCCACCAATAGTGGATGATAAATGAAACTCTCTGAGGAAAGCCTGAGTCCCTGTTTTAGTTTTCTTGGGGCCGACCACAAAGTGTGGTTTTTACCTCATCACTCAAACTTGGCGAAGGAGGGACCCAGGGGTTAAAGGACGCCAGGCGGTTGCCCAGTCAACCACCCACTTCCACCTGGAGCCCGGAAGTGACGCAAGGCCCGGAACCTACGAGGTGTTAGGGTCAGCGGTGGTCCTAGTAGCTGAGCGTTTCTTCGTCCTGATTGAATGGTGGAGAAGGGGTCGAAAAACATGCCCCAAACCTCAACACTGACTCTGCTAGGCACGAACTAACGTTCCGCAAGGATCCGACGCCTTCCCCGCAGCCAACTCCGCCCAAACCCTCCGGCAACCAGCAATTTCCGAGGCGGGCGGGAGCGCGCCCGTCCGCGCCCCTCCCACGTTCTACGTCACTCCCCAGGCCCCGCCCCCGGGGACAGGAGGCCCTCCCCGCCACACACACACCCCTCTTCCTTTCCCCGCGGGGACCCCTCCCCTTTTAACCATTTGGCTGATGGCGCTGGGGAAAGGCTGTGGCCCGGAACTTTCCCCGGGGCGGGAGAAGGGAACATACTCTGTTCCCGAGCCGGGAGCCGGAGAGCCGAGGGAAGGACCTCCCCGAGTCCGCCTTCGCGGCCCTCTCCTGCCCCCCCCCCCCCCCCCGCACGTTCCAATGCATCTCCTCTCGGGGTGCGGGCCGGAGAGGAGAGTGGGGGGAAAGCCGGGCCCCGGAGACCAGCGGGAGCTCGGCTGCGGCCGGCCGCTCACTCCCTACAGCCTCCCGCCCGCTGCACGCTGCCTCGCTGGGGCAGAAGGGTCTGCGGCACGGGGCAGGCAAGCGCCGGAACAAACGCTGCTTAAAATGGCTGATTCCTCTCCACACCAGCTGCAGCCGCTGGGTCTGCAGCGGGGGCTGACGAGCGGCCCCCACCCCCACCCGTGATACCCCACAGAAGTCCTCGCCGACCGCAGCGGGGGAAGGGAGGGCCGCGAACCCGGTCTCCGGTCCCTCTCCTCCGTCCCACACACCAGACCCCTTCGTGCACTCGGGGAGCCTGTCACCGGAGAAATGTAAAGTGGCACTTCCCAGGGCAGGCTCCGAGCGACAGTGCGCGGAGGCCAGCGAATCCGACTGAGGGGAGGACCCGCACGGGCAGCCTCGCGGCCCCCTACCTTGATATTTGTTGTCCAGCTCTCGAAGCACAGACACGTTCCTCTGCATGTCGTGGGGCAGCGACTCCACACACTCGAGGTAGTCCTGCACGTAGCAGGTGAGGAGCCGGCTCCGCTCCCCGGTCAGGAGCGCGGCCGACGAGTATAGTTGTTGCTGCTGCTGCCCTAACATCCTGCCGCCGCTGCTGCTCCTCGCCGCCGCCGCCGCCGCCGCCTCCGCATCCAGCAGCCACACATGCAACAGCCACGGCCGCCGCGGCTCCTCCGCTCGGCAGCCCGGCGCCGCGGGGACACCGGCAGCCGCTCAAGAGGGCACAGCCGAGTCCCCCGATCTCCACTCCCCCCAAAAGAAGCCCTCACTCCCCGCCCCCGCGGTAACAAGCCCAGGGGCGGGGCGAGATCAGGGCTCCCTCCTTTTTCCCCTCCCTCCCAAGACTAGAGCAGCGGGGATCCCCCGGCGAACCCGGCGCCGGGGTCCCGGGCGTTGACACTTACTGTCCCCCTCAGAGTCCCCAGATGCTACCAATGCCGTCACGTAGCACGGATCCCCATGACAAGCCCCTCGCTGCCGCCTTTCCTCCCAATCACCCTCCGTGCCTGTCGGAGAGTCTCTCACTGGACTGCCCCCGCCCCTCCGCCTGCGGCCGCCTCTGCGCCTGCGCAGGACTTACTCCTAATAAGGCCGGGGGCCCGCCCCTACCGCCCTACCGAAGGGTTCGCATTCTCCCGCCTTCCCTCCGCCACCCGGGCGATTGGTCTGTCAACTCTCGGCCCGGGGGGAGGGTGCGGAGGACGGCCAAACGGCAGGCTGAGCCCCGCCCCCTCTTAAAGGAGAAGCACTGTCAAGCCCGCCTCTTTGCTCAATGTCTGAATGGGACTTGAGAGGCAAGGTGGCTGGCTCCTTCCTTCCGTCTTTCCCACGGGGGAAGAGAACCTTGGTCCAGCTCCCTCGGCCCGGTGTTACCGACATTTTCCCCGTCAGGTGGATCTAGCGCGGCAACTCGCGGGGCTTTAAAAGAGCAGCAGGCGGCCGGCCGCTTTTCGCTACAACCCGGAGTAAGGCCGGCGGGAACTACGCGACCCAGCGTGCAGCGGGCGCGGCTCCCGGCATGCTCGGCGGCCGTGTTCCCGCCGATCCACCGCGGCTCGCTCAGCCGCCGCCTCAGCGCTGCCGGCGGCCCCCGGCCCTCCTCCCGCGGCGGCTCTCGGCCTCCCGGAGCGCTGGGAGGGGTATGGGGTGGGTGCTGATCGCCGAGGTAGGCGGTGCTCCCGCGGCCCCCTGCATTTCCTTTCTCTTAGTCAGCTCGCCCTTTAAATCTCCCTCCTGGCTTTAGCAGGTTTCCGCCCTTCCCCGTGGGCGGGAGGTCTCCCGCCGCTGAAGTACCTTGCAGGTTTTGGCCACCTTCCGGCTCTTCAGGAATCCTCCGTTTAGTTTAGTCGCCCTCTGCCCCAGAAATGTGTTTGTCCAACACACAACCTTTAAGGAGAATTTTACCCACTCCGGGTGTCAGAACGTTTAAGCATTAAACGTCGACGCGGGCTTAGAGTCAAGAGGGGCGCAGCACCCGCTTTTCATCTCTTTTTTACCCTAGGACCGAAAACCGCTGGGGGTCGGGGGGGTGGGAAGACGGGAAATGAGAATAAAAGCCTAATCAGTAATCAGGCCCACATCCTTATCTATGTGATCGACTTTCAGGGCTTAATTCTTGGGTAGTGTTAAATGAAACGCTCCGCAGAGGGGCTGATTTTCATGCCAGACTAACTCTCAGTATGTAATCCCATTTGTTTTTGAAAGAAATGGCTGTAAATAGAATGAATTCGCGCAGAATTTTAGTGGAATGCTTAGGAAAACGAGTCCTCTTCTGAGTAGTACCTGTGAGTTGAAAAGGAAACGTAAGTGGGTGTTTAACTTGGATTTCTCCTTCTGTCCAGTTCGTTCCTGGGGGTGGTACACCTGTGTCGTGACCTATGTAGAGCACTTTTGAGAACAGTAGAAGTAACCATTGACGTGCAAAGAGAAGTGTAGACTTTGATCTACAGGAAATTTTAAATTGCAAGCCAAAACAAAGCCCTCCAGAAAATTCGGCATCGCGGGAACAACAAAAATATTGCACGGGACTCGGAGATTGTCTGGGAGTGTTATCCTGTGACACTTCTGTGGTTTTGACTACTGGAATATTAAATCGACCCAGGCAGTAGTACGGTGTGGTGTGTTTCGGAGAACCGTGTAGGGATTTCATTGTTGTCATTCTTACAATCTTTCAGATTAAACAGCCAGATTTTGTCCAAAAACCAGTCACTGTTAAAAATGGAATTTTGTTGGTTTTTACCTGACCCCTACTGTTTTTGTTTACTAATGGGTTTGATTTCAGTAGTCATTATTGGAAGCCCAAAATAATGCAAGATTCGATTTTTACTGATTCAGGTTAGGCCCTGAATGTACCTATGGATTTTATTCACAGCCTGAGAAGTAACCTGCAGGCAGATAGGACACGTGGTTAGAACCTAGCAATAAGGGAAGCAGAGATACAGAATACTTAAGACTGTGGCCTCCAGGAACCTGGAGCAAGAAGAGAGGAAAGGAGGCTGAGTATGATAATGGAGATCTTTTATACATTATTTTCCCCTTTCATAACTGTCGAACAGACTGAATGCAAGTAAAAAATCCAAATAGTGATTTTTCAGCTTGTGTTGATGTACACGTATAAGAACACTGTAATATGGGTGTGTGTGTGTGTGTGTGTGTGTGTGTGTGTGAATATTTCAGATGTGCTTTTTTGGCTATACTTATAAAATTAATCAATGGCTTATACCTGCCATATTTATGAAAGCACACTGAGGTCGGGGGGAGTACTTACATGGGGGGAAAAAAAATCACCATATTCCCCAAACTCAACTCTACTGGTGGCTATTTATCGTGGTCTCTTCTTCTCGGCAACCACTTAACTGGACGTTTGGAGGCTTTTCACGTTGGATTGCCTTGCCGAACCAAATGCGAAATTTTAAAGTCACCAGTTCTCTGCAAAGTAGAAATTACCTGGTGATATTAAATCCTCTGATAAAGCAAAAAGGCATCTTATTTACTTTTTAAAATATTTCCTACCAGGAGGTAACTCTAAAAAAAAGATAGGTGACCCCGAAATTAGTAGGTGTGTCTGGGGTTACCTGTCATTTTAAAATCAGTTTCTTTTAAGAGATCGCTGTTAGGAAGTGTTTATGCCTCTAAACCTATGTCTTGTAGCCCTTATTTATATTGTGAGGGGGAAGGGCAAATCTTCAAACTCTCAGTGAAAACAAAATAGCAGATAGTCTGAAGGATTCCTAAAGATACCACCTGAGAAAATTCAGCTATTGCTTAAGTCAGGCCAATTAAATTTGAAATGCTTTTCTTCTTTCTACTTCTTAATGTTTTACAAAACTTTTTAATTACCGAAAATTTCAAACATGCTCAAGAGTAGAGGTAATAGGGATGCCTGGGTGACTCAGTGGGTTAAGCATCTGCCTTGAACTCAGGTCATGATCCCAGAGTCCTGGGATGGAGTCCCACATTGGGCTCCCTGCTGAGCAGGGAGCCTGCTTCTCCCTCTGCCTCTGCCTGCTGCTCCCCCTGTTCGTGCTCTCTCTCTCTCTTTGGCAAATAAATAAAATCTTTTAAAAATCTAAAAAAAAAGAAGAGTAGAGGTAATAATATAATAATCCTAATGCACTGTTCACTGAGCTTGAACATATATCAATATATGGCAAACACTGGGGCACCTGGGTGGCTTAGTGGGTGAAAGCCTCTGCCTTCGGCTCAGGTCATGATCCCAGGGTCAGCTCAGGTCATGATCCCAGGGTCCTGGGATTGAGCCCCGGTCATGATCCCAGGGTCCTGGGATTGAGCCCCGCATAGGGCTCTCTGCTTGGTGGGGAGCCGGCTTCCTTCTCTCTGTCTTCCTGCCTCTCTGCCTACTTGTGATCTATCTGTCAGATAAATAAATAAAAAATATTTAAATATATGGCCAACATTATTTCACCTGTGGCCTTTCACACTTCCTTTCCCTTGCTGCATTGTTATATTTTATCTGTAAATACTTTAAATATAGAGGGATAAGAGATAAAAAAAGAAAGAAAGAAAAACCACACACCCACAATTCCATTATCCCATCAAAAAGATTATCATTTAATATTCAGACCATTAAAATTTCCAAATTTCCCTATTGTCTCATTAATATTATTTTACACTAGGTTTAACAGAATCCAAACAAGTTCCACACCTTGCATTTAGTTAGATCTTTTCTGAGCCAGTAAGAGGCAGTTAATTCCCAATTTACTGCAGTGAAGCAAATAGCAGTGTTTTTCTAAGGAGGATATTGGGTAGTTTAAAAGCACTGTTAAAAGTGTAAGGAAAGTCTAGGAAAGCACTTTAAACAAAAATCCTCATATTAAAAGGTCACCAATTGATAGCCCACAGTAGAAATATAATTGTATCTAATGCAAAAAAATAAATCAATACAAATCTAAGAGTTCGTATTAGTTTGCTGTGTAATTTGTTCTGGAAGATCCAGTGAAGCATTTTAGATTGTAGTGAAAAAAGCCTAAAACTTTAAGTCAGTTCATTAGTACAATAGGCAACTAAAACAAATAGTCTGTCTCCACCAAGGTCAGTTTTCAGGTATTTTTAATTGCTTTATTGCATAAGTAGTATACACTAATTGTATTTAAAAAAAAAAAACAGAAAATAGAGCTAAAAAGCAGATGCATAAAAATCACTATGAACTGGAGATAGCTCTTTTCGGTTTCTAAGTATTTCCTCAAGATATAATTCCACTTTACTTTTTTGCTTTAAGGAAATACTTTGGCCAGAACTAAAAGAGTAAGTTAAGAAAATAACCAGATTCTTGAGGTGGAACATTAGAAATATGAGCAGTGTTGGTCTGTACGTTTAGTTCATGAGGTAGCACAGATTTCAGGTTGGGTGTGTGCAGTCAATCCCACTCTGGGTTATAGCATTTAGAATGACTACTGTCAGCAAGATCACAGCAAAAAATGGAAGGGATTGTGAATGACTGGGACTGTAGTAAAGAGAAAATTCAGTATCATGAACTATCATTCCCATAGCCAAGAAGAAAAAGCAGACACATATTATCTACTTTGGTTATCTCAGAGAGGAAAAAATAACACATATGGTATACTTTGCATATTGCTGACCAGAAAAACATTCAGTTTTCCCTAGGTGGTTACCATAGTTACATGAGCTGTTTATAACATCAAGAGGAGGAACTAGGTCACAGTATTGAAGGAGTTTGAATTATGCAATTATGTTTCCTAAAAACGGGAAAGGTTTACATTTTAAGGAAGAGAGATTTAGACTATATGTTCAAAATTTGAAATTCTGGTCTCATTTTGCCAGTGAAACCTAAAATTTTGCCCAAAATTAAATAGTTGATACTGTAGGTAGAAATTGTTCAGTCCATCCAAATGCTGTAACAGTGTGTGCTGTAATCCAGAAGTGTGATAAGAGATGCCAATGTATTCCTTGAAGATAACCTGTTTATCTTAGTGAGGTATCTTATCTTAAAATGCTTTTGCAGGTAATCAGCAAACCCAACAATAGCC